CGTACTGCCACCTGACGACACACCTTCTTACTATTGCATGTTTACATTCCGGTCATGCTCGAGTAACCAATGTGTATGACATATGACGTATACGACTAAATTTAAAACAACCGTTCATTGTTTCATTCAGGTATATATACTACGTAAGAGCGGTGGGATTATAGAACTCAGAGGAACCAGAAAGACTGAACATACTGACAAATAGTAGCTGTTAAATACGCAACTGTATTAACGAACTCGTCATATCTGACTGTCAAAAAGAATTGACAAAGTCTTATCAAAAAATATTATTATGTGTAAAGAACTAAATTCGACCACAACGGAAGATTTCACCTGGTCATCTTTGCCGTATCCAATGGAAAAACCAGAAATGATACGCCATCCGCGACTCGCCTCTGTAATAACCCATGCCAAGGTAATGAAGCGGTCGTCTTCCGCCGGAAACCCCCGGGAATCTAACACAACATCATCTCTTGGTACGGGGAAAACCGGAAGGAGTTCTTCATTCGCGTCATTGGTCTCATCGTCTAGTGATGACAACAGCAACGACTTGAACTGCATTGAATGTGGCGGGAGAAAAAAGGAAGATAGTCGTATTCTCAAGGGAAACAATATCCAGTCATTCTACACAGTCTGGAAAATACGCGATACGGGAAAGAAGTTGGTGGATCATCACCATTTTAAACTACCGTCTTCTCTCACGAGGAACGACTCTCATCGCACATGTGGCTGCATGACAAGAACGCATAAAAAGCACACTGACAGCATGTGTTGTAAACCTAAATACTGCGCATGTCTGGAAATGAGTGTCACTTAGACAGTTATTCGGGTAGCATCACTCTCGGCAGTTCTTAAATGGATGCACGCTATCCCAATCTGTGACATTGGTACAAGATATGTGCAAACCGGAACCTCCAAGTGGCAAGAAGACCATACTCACAGAAAGAAAAGGTGAAGAACCTTAAACTGTGCTCGACGAGGTGTTAAAATTTATAAGTATGTACCATGAGCACTACGGGAACTTTCAAATATTCTGTTGTGACCCCATGTACCCTAGCAATATGTTGTTTATTTATACGAGTGAACAAATCTGGGTTTTTTAAATGACATTGCAGAATGATACCCCGAATGTGCTTCAGGTTGGTATATTGACTTACATGAAAGTTTAAAACGTCTGTTGTCTCTCCCGAGATACCGAAGTAACAATATAATACCGTGTCTATGTCTATGTAACATTACCCGCGTGTGTTGTACATTATTACAAAGGACGTGCCAGTTGGTTCAGTGAAACCACTAACAGTGTAATACAATGTCTGTGTCTATGTTGTAACAGCAGTACTAGAGGACGTGCCGATTGGTTCAGTGAAACCACAAACAATTGAACTCAGTGTATGTATCTATGTTGTAATAAGAATACTCAAGTGCTTTATTATACCTACGCAATTTTGTTTTACTAAGTCATTGTTTATTACTATGTTTCATTGCTTCGTACTTATATTAATATGTTGTATTACCTAATAAATTTATCTAAACGAAACATATTGTCTATTTCTTACTTTTATTCGACTAAGGAGTTCTTTTTCCAACACGTAGTTTTACATGTGATGTTAATTTTGAAAACAGAATTGCGAAATGAACAACCTGCCTTATAGCATTATGAAAGACTATAGGAGACTCGTGTGCTTTTCAGTGACACTTGTAGAAATACTTCAAGTCTGTCCTATGTCTCAGACGATACCAATCGGTGTAATAATATGTGGTGTATCGTACAGCGGATTATCTGTATAGGGTTTCATTGGAGCGATTTTAGTGACTGCGCATTTAGATTACAAACATTTAAATTGCTCAGTAAAGAATTAAACGAAAATTGTCCAAGTCGAATAACATAAGTTAATCGGTGGCATATCTGGAGTAATGACAAACAATTACTCAGAAAACATGAATCAGAATATGAGTCGTTTTCAAGTCTTACTTACTGTGCAAGGAAATAATTTCAAATAAATCCATTCGCTTTGGTCGCTAACCTGTTTTATAATCAATACTATATAGTAACTCATTGATCTGTGAGGGTGTAGATATAACGATATGATTAATCCTAGATACATAAAGTGGAACGTCGATAATCAGGCCACTCCATTATTTGAAATATGTTTCAATTTAATTTTAAAACAGTGTTTCCTTGGTTCGTATGTCTCGAGATTTGTTTTATTGAAGAAGCTGTTTGACTCTGGTGGTGGAAAATCAGTTCCCAATTTTGACCGTCATGCTGTAGCTTGAATCTACTCAGTTTACATAAAGTACAAGTTTAGCAATACATTAGGCAAATCTTATCATTGTGCGACACCATCTCCCTTTTTGTATTTCTTCATATATTTAAAAAAAAAATTAAGAAATGGATTTTCATTCTTTTGACCGTCAGTAAAACTGTGGAGTTTGTAATCGACTAAATGACTTAATGGTGAAATACATAGGTGCTTTATTCGAAATTCTGCATCGGTTTACTAAAAAAACTTGTATTTCTAATTTACAGTCGTTATGACTAGTAGAATCTGTGGGAAGGTTGTTTTATTTAAATATTTACAATGGCTATCCCTTTAAAACAAAGAGTAATTCACGCAACTGTAAATTGAAAAAACCAAAACTGGTCTTTCACAATCATCAAACTTCGACAAAGGAAAAGTTGGTAAAATTATCTTTCCAGTTGAAAATATTCCAGGTTTTTAATTAGCTATAAATTATCAGAAATACGCAAGATGTCAATTTCTTGTCAGTTACAACACCACTTCATATTTATATACCTTTAACACCTGTCCGGTCGTTTTATCTGGATTTCCAGATATTGGCTGATCCAACATAGACATATAATGTCATCATCTAAAGTCAGCTCTACTGACATTTATACATGTATGGTAGTATATGATTACTAGTGATAACTTTGAAATCACGAATCATTCAACCATTTGATAAATACACATTTTGTGAATTGGGCCTGAAAGTGATAGGCATTTAATATACTAATATGCATTTCAATATCAATTATTCATATCTAACGACGATACAACATCGAGTGCGTAAAGCAGGATATAAAATGACACATTTGATTAGAACAATTAGACTACTATGTGCAGTGCGTAGAATGATATCAATATCATGTGGTGTGACGTCATCAAATATTCCTATGATACTGTCATCATAACTAAATACTCATTTTTGTTTTGTTTTTCTTTTATCGGCAGCCCCATTTAAATGACCAAAGATTTTGACCCGAGAAAATGTATACCTTTTTCTAGCATAAGTTGATGTGAACTTCGCCACAACACGTTTTTGGCCTTTTAACCATATACGAATATGATTTATATATCCCGGGACAGAAATGTACTTGCTATGGGTTTGCTATTGACACAAGAAGATGTGAGTACGAAGGCATTGGACTCGTTTGCAACAGTTAATGATGATGGAAGATGCAAGTATAATGGAACTGGGCCCGTATTCATAAAACCGGTTTCATGCTCAAACATGGATTCTGTGCTCAAACCAACTTTCTTATAACTCACTTGAATCATGCCAAACGATCAAAGAGCAAATGTAAACATTGAAAACAGTATTCAGCTCTATGTCTCTAAAAATGTTTTCCCAAATCATTGACAAATTAGATTTTATTTTAGTTTTAAAACTGGAAGTAGAACAAGAAATAAAGCTTGAGGACAAAGTCAACAGTTTCATGAATACCGGGCCCTTGATTTGTTATAATTATATGGACGATATACTACAGAAGATGCGAGTACATGTAGGACATACGTCTATACAGATGCGTGGGAGCGGTCATTTTACACTCTGATCTTGATGATTTTAAATTTCAATATAAGAACGCTTAAACCTTTGTCGTGTCGTACGTATATTCTTTTTCAAAATGATATTTCTTTGTCTTTAGAACATTACTTTGAATCCGGATAAATCATGGTTTATTGTTATATTTGTGACATTGATATTCTGCACGTGTTTCGGGATTGGGTTCTAATGCGACGTTCACGACAATACGTACAAGTGCGTGTGTTCTTGGGAGTCTACTGTATGACCGTGTTATCTTTGTAGTATATCATATAGATGAATGAGCTTTATACGACAGCCATGTCACAGTTGCACACCGTGGTACCGTGATGTAAACCGCTTACTGTAAGTGGATAAAGGAAGACCAATCAAGCAACGTCTAAATATAAAGTTCTGTCCGCAGTCATGACGGAGAACTTATATGAAATAATGCCACAAAACAAATTATATTTTAATATGAATGGTACCAAAATCAAAAGTGTGAATCATTCATGAAAAAAGGAATGAATGAATGAATAAATAAAAAATGAAGAAAGAAAAGTAAAATATAATATATATAGATAATAGTTTTGGCGTCGAGTCTGTTTGAGGTTCATCAACTGATTGCATGACCGATAAGTTGACTACTTATTGCCCGATCGATCAATGTGATTACAAGCTTTTCAAATAGCAGTAACAATCACACAAAAGTCTAAAACACATGCTTTCTTATTGAGTGTACGTGATGGATCGCACGTTATAGATCACTTGTGACGAGCATATATAGATTCCTCGGTAATCCGCTCCATTGAACGACTGTTCATTACACCGAAGGATCAGTAAACGCGGACAGCCACCAGATGGCACACCAGGCAGTGACGTATGGTTCTCTTTTGACAAGTGACAACAACCATTCTTACTTACATGTATCGCATCGTCTTTCTTTGTGGACCGCTACATTCCAGTCGCAGAAAAGTTCACGAATCTTCCTTGGATGAAGTTGTCTGTTATGTATTAAATAGACCATTTAATGTAAAACGTATGGGCAACCTGACAAACGCTCGTAAAGCAAATAAATTGGACGTTAGTGCGTCAATGAAAACAAATTCGTAAATATCTTAACAAATGGAATTACGAGCGAGTATGTGCATGGTGTGTATTGCTTTGTTGTATGTGAAGACACGTTTTGAAGCAGTATCATAGGTACTTGATATTACTGGTATGTCGTCGATCTTAGTAAAAACGTGTTTTAAGAATCGCATAATGTCTTTAATATAACAGCAGAAGGAAAGGCGATCACATAACTGTTCCGTTATGACCGACTTCAATTTGACGACGGCAGAAGCCATGTTCACGTCACAGCTTTGGTGGCCACTGTTGATAATCAACATAGTATTGGGAGGGGTAGCCATCAGTTGTAGTCTGATTGTTATACTGGTGTCACGCCGAACGTCACTAGGAGACGGTGCCACACTGGTATTTGTACGATGTCTCTGTGTGACGGATATTTTAACAGGAGTGTGTGCAGTATCTAAAGGTCTGCTACTGATGAACATCGATGTTCTGTCCGTTGATTGTTTTCTTCCGGAAAGCCTTTTCATCACTGCCATCACAGCATGTGTGCTTTTTCTACTGTGGCTAAATGTGGACTGCTTTCTTCACCTAAACAAACCGGAGAATATGCGTCTTCATATTGCTAAGGGTAACATTATAAGCGGTATGGTTGTAGTGTGGAACGTTGCCTTTATCCTAGGATTTCTGCCCCAAATGGGGTGGAACGCTATGGATCGCGTGTGTCTGTTCTTGTTCTACTATGATCACTTGTATCTGCTGATGTTGGTTTCACTTTGGGTACTAATCGTCCTCTGCTGTTATTGGATGCAGGCCTTGACATCACGCTTGACCACCAAAATTAAGTCCAGCCGTCACTTTCTGACTACAAACAGTAAAGTGTATTATAAGTATGGAGGCCTAACTGGGACGGTTCACATACAACTGTGTACCATGTGTGTATGCTGCCTCCCATGTATCGGATATGTTGTTTACTGTTTTTTCAGGTACGAAACCCCAGAAAATTTTATCTGGGTAAATGGGTATCTACCATACGTTTTAATGATTTTTACATTCCGTTCAGTGCTCTGTTCATTCATAAATGGATACAAGACCTCACAAATCCGTAGTCTCATGAGGCGGGTGTCAAGGAGTTTCGCCAATACCTTACTTAGGCGTCGGTTCTCAAACTACCGCAGACGTGCGGTACGTGGTCGCAACGTCTTCAGGGCTTCCCCTTCCAACCAGCAACACTGTTGGACTGTCCAGCGACAATTTGACAACAGCCAGTCATGTCATGTGTGTGCAAGTAACAGTCAGCGTAGTTTTGGGTCCTCCACGTGCACCTCTATATCGACGGGGTGTCTGTATTGCCATAGGACGCGCTGCCTCTGTGATGTATTTGATGTAAAAGATCATGAGCGTGATAGAGACATGGATAAGTATGGCCGATATGGGCTAATCAAGCGAACTAAACAGGTTACCTTTCCATTTTCTTCTGATTCTTCATCTGAGTACAATGGAAATGTTCATCCAGGTGAGATACAAAACAATGCGCTATTTGACAAAAGGTTTACCCGTGGTAACATTCCGTTACACCATCCGCCTTTTATTAGAAAGACTATGTCTTGTCCCGATGATTTTGCACACAGACACCATGAATCATTTAATCCAACATTTAATAGAAGTCCATCATCAGTAGAAAATGATTTACCAAACAATGATCACGTTGACTATAATCCTAGCAATGGAAGGGACACATCACCACATTCCATTAACTTTTCTCAAACAAAAGATTCACATAATCCGACAGTCACACAATCTGAATTGTTAGGCGAAGACATAGTTGGGGAAAGAACTGACTCAATCGAAAGTGCGTCACCAAGTTCTCCAAAACCTTCCAAATGTACCACTCAGCGGTTACGACCTCCGCTAAGGCAAGCAGCCTCTCTTCCAACTAGTACCACAAACACACCACCTGACCTCAAGGACATCGCCGACTCAGTTGATAAAACGTTAACTAGGAAAAGTGGTACGATGGGTTACTTAAAACGCTGGACGCTCCGACAGGCCATGAAAATAAAGCAATATTCGTATGATGGCAGTAACGACTTCAGACAAAGGGTTGGATACAGACAAGATGGTTATTTAGGCTCATTTGATGACTCGAAGTTGATATTTAATGAAGGAGTTCTTACAGAACAGACAACGCTCTGATTAGTACTGAATTAGTAAAGGCATTGCATGTTCGCAATATATGTGCACAACTACAGCTAGGACTACATTGTCATTCGCGGGCAATTCAGGTACATGTATACACCTATGTGAAGTTTTATGATGTCAGCACTCCATTTATAACATGGCCACAATTTCTCGATGAACTTATCAGAACGAAAGTGTGGCCTTTTCGAAGATTTCATATCGTGTATGTATTTATATTGATTTTCTCCATTACATGCTGGTACAACTCTGATGAATGAGATTGGCAATTGTTTTATTTCTAAATAGTAAATATTTGTACTTGTTATAATATATCACGAGAATGAGAAAATGTTGAAAAAAATAGTTTTCTTCCATTTTCGACTTTGTTAACAGAACAGTATACGTGCATGGTTAATTGTAAAATAAGACATACACATACGTGTCTATGTTACCAAACTACATTATATAAACCAATGAAATGTGTCGTTATTTCACTGACTTGATGGAATAGGCTGTTACCTTAATGGATTTACTATTTTTCAATGCAGTAGCGTTCTTCTACTCTTTATGTGTTGGGGCTATTTAACGTGTATTTTTTTACTTGGAACTTTGATAAAAATAATCCTAAGCAATAAAGCATTTGAATTCTTTCCTATTGGATGTTGCATCTGTGTTATTCAATGTGTCTCTTGAGAATATCTGGTGAGGTATCAATCATTTACTAAACTGCTTTTAATTCACGCCTTCAAATAGTTCTAGCAAAGTGGCCTTTGTAAACACTACTTCATAAGTTAAGTTGCAGTTCCTGGTGGGCTTGTGAATTATCGACAGTTATCTTACTAATTAAAAACGTCTAAGGTAATTTGTTATTTTTAAAGCGGCTGAATGAATTATATGTATTTTGAGCCAAGTTCGTCTGTTAACTGTTGTTAGGTATTATATAAGCCGATTAATACTTTATATAGCAACTGAGCGAGTTCTAATCAGAATATGTTGGCTGTTTACAAGGGGATTTAAATATGTGCCGTTCAATTATCTTCATGGTCAGCTGATGGTTCTCAAATTATAATTTCCTCTCCAATTTGCTTTGCTATACCAATGTTAATGGTGAATAACTGTTAAATGATTACTGATGACGTCACTGTTCTTGTCTTTGGCAGGAAATGTCGTGACGGGTCCCAAGACATCGGATTTCACCTCCGGATTTTTTTTATAGAGGCTGACATATCTTTCCTTAGCTCATGTCTCTTCAGTTCCTATGGAAATTTTGTATCGAATTTTGATTTAGTTTTTGTTTATGATGGGTGTTAAGTGTATGTCTACTTAATTTCCAAACATCATGTGGAGCTTGATCATAATGATAAGAATAAAAAAAAATATTCTATTTCAATTCAATAATGAAGAGGTATTAAATATTGCTAGAAAAAAAAATCGTAAATCGAGAAAATAGTATGCAGATGAATTGGACTTGGTTACAGCGGTCTGGCTGTATAGTTACAAGTACAATACAGAAGAATATATAAACTATATAAAATCCTGAACCATATCGTGTTTATTACAGTAACGAATGCAACAATGGATCAACGACGTTTGTTTATAACGATTCGTTGTCTCGTTATTATGAAATAGATTTGATTTTTCTCATTATTATAACATTATTATACCTAAACAACATCCAAATAATTAGTCAAGTATGTTTTATTGAATTATTTTTCATATTGGTATTTTAAAGAACATTAAAAAAAAGGACAATACTACTTTTCTGATGCCGTTCTGAAGTGTCGGGATATGTATTTTTCATGTAGAATTTAAAAGTCAACATGCATTTTGAACTTTTTATTGTTATCCAAGTTTTAATATAAAATATTAACATAAAACATGCAAACAATCTCAATTATCAACATGATAAGAACGTACAAACAGGTCAGGAACAATATATACAGCAAAAAGTCCTACTACGACACCATAGGCCTGATAAACCTCGCCAGACGAGGGGAGAGCACTCCAATAAGCACATCAGAATTTGTATTCCGTCTTTGCGTATTGCAGAGTTATCTTCTCTTGGGAGCAGGTATTGCTTGTTACGTCATTGGTTTGTGTGAGAAAATAACGTCGTTTTCTCAAAAATTGATGACGTTACTCTCACAAACAAGTGACGCAACAATCAATACCTGCTCCCAAGAGAAGATAACTCTGAAATACGCAGAGACGGAATAGGTAATAGCATATCCTTAAAGCAATACTGTGAATTTGATGGCCACACCGTGTACCATATAATTTGCGTATACATTAGGTTTACAAAATTGCCTCAGATGTAGTCTGTTTTATGTATATAATGTATAAAAAAACAACTGCTTACTCGAACTCGTGGGGTCCAGATCGATAGTTCGAGGAATACATGGTATTCGACGAATCTGTGGTTAACCCGACATCGTCATTTTTAATCAGGCGGGACGACACACAGTACGAGCACTGTAGAGAGTTAATTTACAAAGAATACATAATAATACGGTCGGGATCAAGCGAACTATTCGAGAAATAGGGGGTATTCGAGTAATGCGAGTTCGAGTAAGTGGGGTTTCACTGTATGTTTACTTGTGCTTCTTTTGCTCATTTCCGTCAAATCGATATATGCAAGTAGAAAAGCAGAATAAAGCATTACATTAATTTTTACGGAGTAAAGTATATATTTGTTGACATTTTGCATGCTTTGCATTTGGAAGCATGTTCTTAAGTACGCAAATATATAATGTCAAACTTCGTCAGGGGACTTTTTTTTATCTTTATAACACACACACATATATATTATACCTAAACTTTGAATCACTGTTACATATTCATTTAATTATAAACTTGCAACAAAATAACATTTTAAAATCCCACACATTGCAGCAAAGTTCCCATAGGAAGCTACCTATTGAATAAGAGAGAAGGAAGTACTTGTTCAACCAAACTCCCGTTGGCCACACGACGATAAAGATATTTTATCTTTAGGGAAGTTTTCATGAAACAAGTCTAAATATAAGCTAATGTAAGACATTTGTCGGATTTGATATTATTCCACAATTCAATTTTATCAAAAAAAACATGAATATGTTAATAGGATATATTTAGATGATTTTGTATGCAATCGTATATCGTGGAATTTAAAGGTTTATATATGTAGTTAGTTGGTGATGATTAGATGACCTTCTATCTAACAGGCTAAGACCTATCCACTCTGTACAAGGAGTGGCAACCTTTAAAAGGCAAACAATAGCCAGGTACAATTTACATGTATTTAAATCCACGGTGAAATACTTCAATCACTCAAAATAAGTTTTTCAAAGACTTTTAGGTTGCGAAAAGGCACTATCCCCGGAAAGTATAACAAACATTTCTATTCCACACCTTTTTTCTATCTTGATAAAAGTGAATGTGAAAATTCATAGTTGTTAATTCTGGCAAAAACCACAGCGAGATTACTATTTAAGTGTTATACCCGAACATATCTTTGTCGTCATTTCCTGTAAAAGCTGTACTACTGTTTTGGGCGGTACGTAGAGCCACTCCGAGTCTCCGAAAAACACGTCACAGTTGTACCAACTGCTGTAGTGGACCCCTACCCAGTTAGCGAATTCCTCAAAGTGTTTGTTCCTAAACAGAAAGTATAAGGTCGGAAACAGTTCAATAAGGCCTGACTGTGGTCTCATCATAATCACGTGACCTAGTCCGGCCCCGTGAACCCCTATTAGGATATCTGTATTGTATATTAGTTTCACTTGATCTTCCATACTTAAATCATCCAATTGAACAGCTGTCAACTTGGTCGATGGCATCGCTGATCTTATTTCATTGATAATCTCCTCTTCATTCAGAAGTTTGCGTTTGATTTTCCCGCTAGGATTTCGAGCATGCGCAACATAATTGTTCCTTAAAATAAGCGTTATGTTTAAATATTGACTACCTAAAGAGCAAGGTGTCTTCGCTGGTATGCAGAGTGCATTTGCACGGTAAATTGTTTCTTGAAATTCATAAATAAATGGAAGGAGTTCCATTCCTGCGGTGATAGGACCGCTATAAGTGTCTATTCCAAAAATCAAATCCCGGAAATTCACTTCCTGATCTTTAATTTCTTTTACTCTTATAACACGTTGAAACACCATGCTCCATAACTCGTCGAGTTTACCTCTTGGGTGTACATCCAGCACGACAATACATGTCTGGCTAGGATCACGAGAGAACATTTTGGTTGTCAAAAAAGCGTTGTAAAGTTCAATCATTGTCCAATACACATTGGCATAATCTTTTCTTTCTACAACAATGCCAAACGGCTGCAGATACTTTTGTTCCGTAGTCCCGCCATATTTTTGATGTTGTGTGGTGATGTCAATGGTTTTAATGAAATGTTGATAGGTTGACTGTATATATAACTTTGGTAGGACTACATCATCACAGGGAACGCGGATGAATCCTTTATTCACTCTCACGAACTCGTCATTCTCAGGTTGACCTATGACCCTAAGAACGTCGTCCCCACCTGTTCGCTTGGCGTCGATGAAATGCCCGAACAGTGTTCCATCCCGTAAAAGAAGAACTTTGTGATTGATGATGTTAACGTTTCCACCACATTTCTTTTGCCATATATGATTTCCACTTGAGTCGATGTGGATGTAATCGGGATCACTAGAGCCTTTAATGGCTGTAAGAATAGTCAAGGTCAATTCAGATAGATCATCTGATTTATATCTATGAAACGTTTTGTGGATCCCGATCACAAACGCAATGATGATGAGTGACGTAATAATCCAACTCCGATTAGATGTTGGTCTCATCCACCTTACCTTGGGTAAGCTCCGTCCAATCCTTATCATGGTCAATGACACAAATCGATATTCTGTTACCTGTTGAATAAGACATGTAAGTGTAACTTGGTTATCTATGGTGAAAAAATACAACATTATCGTACAAATATGAAATCCCCAGTTACATATACGACCATAATATGACAATATCTCTTTAGCACATGAAAATGTAATTAAACTAACTCTCGTGCTGCAGTACATTTAACTAACGCAACGTGATTGACACCATCAAATTACTTGGACTATGTTTTCTTTTGTATATATATTTCACATTTCACCAACTTCAGCACTTCTGTTTGTTGCAGCCATTTTGTATGTCTTGACAGTGACAGTCTCATCTGTGTGTATGTGGAAACGATAATATATGCACATGCACGCGTGTTCCCTCACTCGACAAAGCGAATACGTTCAAGACAAATCACGCAAGCTTAAGTTGTTTGCAATTCCCCTACTGAAGGCTTTTGGAATAGCGTTGCACGTACTTGGTTGGTCCGGCAATTTTACACACACATGCGTGTATTAGTGTCCAATATTATAAGGTCATTAACCAATTAAAAGGATTGTTAACATCGCTAACATTGTAGAAAGTTTCATATACAATGCTCACCAAAACTGCTTTAAAGTAAGACAAATTACAGGCAACTCACACATACAGTTATCAAACAAAAAATGTGGCGGTCTTTTTTTAACATATGCATAATTTCTCAAGGGAAAAGAGACAGAATTTTGCTGTCCATTTTTAACCCACCTACCCTTATGCATTAAGGTGAGGAACCGTGTATCTCGTGTATATATGTGAGTGCTACGGAATATTCCTCAGTTATCACGTAACTCGACCGACACTTTGGCTGAAAACCATCCAGTTTTATTGCCAACGCATCGCCCACTAAGGTAAAGCCTATCAACAAATTAAACTGTATTATAACCAGTCACTATATGAAATATTTGTTTAAATCCTTTTCTAAATAAGTATTCCATAAAGGCTTTTCGAAAATTGCATATTTGAAAATAGAAAAAATCATGGGTCGAATTCAGGACCTCTTCATTCCCAAGCCTACACTTTGCTCATTTCGCCATCCAGGAATTATAAATGCAAGGCATCAGAATGATTGTTCAATTAATGCACCGCAAAGCGTATGCATATCTTTAAAGGGTAGTTAATCAAAGCTAGACAAGGGAGAATACTCAAAATAAAACCTGATAAAGTGGAACTCTTCTTTGCGATTATAACGGATGCAGTGGCACCGTTAACCTTAAAACAATAGTGAGGTCAGAATATTTCACTGTCGTATTACACAATGGTCACATATCGTCATTATTCGGTCCTCGACGTGTTTAAAGTAAGAGCCACACTACCTATTTGTCTTTATCTGACTTCGTAGATAACTCCGACTTCTATGCGGACGTACACATCCAGGAGTGTGTGGAAGCTATACCATATAAAATATTTAAGTCGATGATACTGAACATTTTAATCACAATATTAACTTCACGCTCACAGAGAAAACAAAAGGATCTGGCAGTTTGTTGTTTTATTTGCATTTGAGTTCATGTAAGATCTTTTTAACAAGGTTGGTTTTATTTTTTATTTTTTTATATTTTTTTAGCTTAAATTGCTTAAATTTTAGGTACCAATAAAAGATGTTTTTCCCATAGTTTACATTACTAAGACGACGAGGAAGGTCCGTGACAAAGTTAGGAAGACGATTGACAGGTGATCAATTCAAGTTATTACTGACCGTAGAGCCTTAATAAGGCGTGTTGTAACCCCGAACAGTTCTGATTTTCTGTCACTGTTCTTTTTGCTTTGTGTTGTAGCCGTATAGTGTCGTCTGCTCGCCGCTGCCGGTTTTGGCAGAGGTAGGTCTCTATAAATATATAAGATGATAGAAATTACGTCACCAAAATGATTATTTTTTCTGATCAAACATTGTTTGCAAATATGGTATATGCTAAATCTGGCTGGCTAATTCGTTATTGTCTAAAAATCTCAGGGGGAAAATTGATGTTTTCAAATGGTGGCCAGTCCGAACGCATTTTCATGGTTTCTGAGCTTATTTTGGTGGTTGGAATGAGAGAAAAATACTCTTTCACGCCCAAGGGTTTTCAAATTTGGCAACACCCTCGGCAAAGACTCGGGTTTTCCCAAATTTGAAAATCCGGCAAAGCCTCGCGTTTTTACCAAATTTGAAAACCTGTAGGTGGAATGTCCCTATCCTACAACCCTGTGCATAAAAGAGTCTTCTATTCTCTCATTTCCATGTGTGTAATATAGAGATGTCCAGGGTAAGATAGGGGTGTAGGAAATTTCTATCGTACACCCTATTTCACGTGAGGTGACGTCACAATGGCTCATTAAAACGCAATATAATACACCTTGGGTTTGAATTACGTTATCCATGCCTCTCATCAGGGATGGATTCTATTAATCTTTCACCACCTTGAGGGTGAGACAGGGTAATCTCAACCCGAGGGGTAATTCTTAAGTTGTCAAACACGAGGGTTGCCGAGTTTTCGACAGCTTAAGAATCTTACCCCGAGGGTTGATATCACCCTGTCTCACTCCCAAGGAGGTGAATGATTATTTTTCTCTTACCCTGTTTACCCTTGTATTTTACATAGACGTTACATCAATGCAAGACAATGTTGATGTGATGCGGCTGAATTGTCGACGTGACGTCATTGTATTGTTGCCGTGACGTCATGATATCGTTGCTAAGACGTCATACAATTGTTGAGAACGTGCAAAGAACACGTGTAGCTTGTCTCAACCCTAGGGCGAGATAAGAAAAATCGCACACCGGTAAAATGGTGGATATCCCTGTCCAGGGTAAGAGAACACCCTGTCTCACTCCCAAGGGGGTGAATGATTATTTTTCTCTTACCCTGTTTACCCTTGTATTTTACATAGACGTTACATCAATGCAAGACAATGTTGATGTGATGCGGCTGAATTGTCGACGTGACGTCATTGTATTGTTGCCGTGACGTCATGATATCGTTGCTAAGACGTCATACAATTGTTGAGAACGTGCAAAGAACACGTGTAGCTTGTGCTATCTCACCTTAGATTGTCGAGTTGATATTGGGTATAAAACAAAATGACCCAATCATAATTTAGGTAGGCCTATTAACAATACGAAATTATTACAGGAGGCTAACAAGCCGCAAATACATCAGAAGTGATGCTTCCAAGTGTAATTTTTACTACCAAAAATACTGCCCTGGCTAGACAAAATGCGAGCAACCAATAGCGATTTTACTATTCAACGTTCATTTATCCCTTTTATATCTCTTTTATATCATTTCTCGAGTGTATGAAACAAATAAAAATATCAATACGGTGTACATTTATTGTAACTTATGATAGCTTTGCTAGCAATGCGCTGATAGAAACCAATATCGATTGGTTTGTAATAAGTTGCCAAATATTTCCAGAGTGGCTGTTTAGACATTTCTCATTTGTGTTCAATTTAAACGTACAAAGGCTTGAAAACAACAAAATATAGCGGCAGAATTGATCAATTTATATCCTTTGTTAATCGGAATTGTAGAATTGACCAAGATTTAAATTTCCATCGAACTTTTACCTCTATAATAAATAAATGAACAATGTCTAAGTATTCCTATTATGGAGTTGTATGTAACACTATATTACGAATTGTTATCACGGTGTACATTTATTGCCCTTTTGTAGAGAGAACCCCCCCCCCCCTGATATTAATAATATTTTTCACGAGAACGAATGCAAAATGAAACCTGACTTATATAATGGGGGAAAAGAATCACGTTTCCTTTCCACAGATACAATAAATAATTCATTATATCAGACATGGACAATTTGCCTAACCACAACACATCAGAAAAATCATCAGGCTTACACAAACTTGTTGTCGTCTGCTTCAGTCACACTCGGAACCAAGGGGCGCTGCTCGATTCGTCCACCGGCGAGTAAGCCGGCAGATACTTATGATCTGTGACTGATTAGTTGTCGTACTCTCTGATTTATATCTTCATTTTCAGTGGTATTCATTTTATAAGAAAGACAGCTGGAACGAACAGTTGTGCGTGTTGATTAAAGAAATATGTCCCGGCTCTATTAAATATGTGGTATCGCTAATAAAAAAAACTTTTAAATCTTTTTTTTTATCAGCGATACCACATATTTAATAGCCGTCGCACGCATGGAATATCAGAGAAAGTGTTTTTCTCCTGCCCACACAACTCCAACAACCCAGGTGGAGTATAAAATGGTCTGGGGTTGATGTTGCGGTATATGTGATATAGCATTCAAATGAGGTGGCACTATAAAAAAAAAGATGCCGTTGGAAGCACGCTATTTATAAGGCTACCAGAGCAAAAACGGCACCTTGAATACATTATTAGAATTGTAATTCCCTTACGACGTCCCCATCAAATGTTAAATCTGTGTGGACAATTGCAATAGCGCCCAAAATGGCAGTCATATTTGATACAACCGGTGCGCTGGATTCGTTAACATGGGGCGGTAACCGGCTCATAATTTTCAGAGAGACGAATCGAGTAGCACCCCAACCCTCTTCATGCCGTTTCTAGAGAGGTCCCGAATGAAGAAAAGTTTTACAAACTGTTTTCTAGTAACTTCTTATTTTTTATTCGCATCTATCGAAAGATATTTCACACAAACATATACCTTGCCTGTTAAATGTACTTATTCCAGTGATATCAACGAAAACAAAACGTTTAATAGAGATGTTCAATCTTCAGCAATAAGATTCATCGATAGAGATATTCGTTATAACAGAAAGAGAAGTAACTATTAGATAGGCTTGCTGAAACAGAATGGGAACTGCAAACATGGGTGTTTTTATAGCTACAGAAACGAAAAAGATTATCAACAAGGAATAAAGACAAGAGAAATGGCATTATAAACCGAAATGTTCTGTATTTTCTATATATCAGGCAAGGTAGAATTACCAAAGGAAATGGTCAGTAACAGTGATGATCCTGTAACAATCGGGAACCGTCGGCACTTTCCGTAAACGAGAAAATACGGAAGGTGCCGACAGTTCCCGATTATATCATGTTACTACTGATAGAAATGTTCCTTATAGCAACAGAAAGGAAACTATCGGTAAAGATGTTCCCTAAAGCAAAAAGGAAATATGCATAACAGTAACATGAATGGAACTAATAACAAAAAGTATACTTAGAAAAAAATAAAGAGAATTTGTATTTCCTTCTATCAAGAGGATTAAAGAAATAACATAAATAAAAATATTGATCCAAAAAATACGGTTCAGCTCACAGTTACAGTAACGGAAATATAAAAAAAAGAGACATTTTCATTGTAGCAGAAAAAAACCCCAATCAATTCAGAAAGTCACAATAGTTACACTAGAGGAATTATCAACAAGGAAAACAATATTTATAACAATAGAAAAACAATTGATATGCAGTGCATTAATTATGTCAACAGAAGACGAACTATAAGTAAAAAGAATAAAAAAAAGGCGCTGCTGCTTACAGTAACAGCAATGGAAATATGAAGAGATGTTCCTTAAAGATACAGAAAAAAAAGAACGATCAAATTAGATATTCGTTATAAGAACATAAATGGAGCAATCAATATCCTAAAAATAACAAGAGAGAATACTATCATTATGTTGACGATCCTTATATCGTACATGAGCTGTTAATATATGTGCCCCTTATAGTAACAGAGGGGAACTAGCAATAGCGATTCCTTACAGGAACATGAGCTGTTAATTTATGTGCCCCTTATAGTACCAGAGGGGAACTAGCAATAGCGATTCCTTAGAGTAACATGAGCTGTTAATATATGTGCCCCTTATAGTAACAGAGGGAAACTAGCAATAGCGATTCCTTACAGTAACATGAGCTGTTAATATATGTGCCCCTTATAGTAACAGAGGGGAACTAGCAATAGAGAATTATTACAGTAACATGATATATTAATATAGACGTTCCTTATAGTAACAGATGGAACTAGCAATAGCGATTCCTTACAGTAACATGATCTATTAAATAGACGTTCCTTATAGTAACAGAGGGGAACTAGCAATAGCGGTACCTTACAGTAACATGATCTATTAATATAGACGTTCCTTATAGTAACAGAGGGGAACTAGCAATAGTGATTACTTACAGTAACATGATCTATTAATATAGACGTTCCGTTTAGTAACAGAGGGAAATTAGCAATAGAGATACCTTACAGTAACAGGAGATGTTAATATAGACGTTCCTTATAGTAACAAAGGGAAATTAGCAACAGAGATACCTTACAGTAACAGGAGATGTTAATATAGACGTTCCTTATAGTAACAAAGGGGAACTAGCAATAGCGATTCCTTACAGTAACATGAGCTTTCAATAGAGATGTTCATAATAGTAACAGAAGGGAACTTAACTAGCAATAGCGGTACCTTACAATAACAGGAAATGTTAATATAGATGTTCATTATAGTAACAGAGGGGAACTAGCAATAGAGATACCTTACAGTATAAGGAAATGTTAATATAGATGTTCATTATAGTAACAGAGGGAACTAGCAATAGAGATACCTTACAATAGCAGGAGATGTAAATAGTGATGTTCATCATAGTAACAGAGGGGAACTAGCAATAGAGATACCTTACAGTTACAAGAAATGTTGATAGAGATGTTCATTATAGTAACAGAGGAAACTAGTAATAGAGATACCTTACAATAATAACAGCTTTCAATAGAGATGTTCGTTATAGCAACATAGGGAACTAGCAATAGAGATACCTTACAATAACATGAGCTGTTAATAGAGATGTTCATTATAGTAACAGAGGGAACTAGCAATAGAGATCCCTTACAATAACATGAGCTGTTAATAGAGATGTTCATTATAGCAACATAGGGAACTAGCAATAGGGATACCTTACAATAACAACAGCTTTCAATAGAGATGTTCATTTTAGTAACAGAGGAAACTAGCAATAGAGATACCTTACAATAACAACAGATTTCAATAGAGATGTTCATTATAGTAACATAGGGAACTAGCAATAGGGATACCTTACAATAACAACAGCTTTCAATAGAGATGTTCATTTTAGTAACAGAGGAAACTAGCAATAGAGATACCTTACAATAACAACAGCTTTCAATAGAGATGTTCATTTTAGTAACAGAGGAAACTAGCAATAGAGATACCTTACAATAACATGAGCTGTTAATAGAGATGTTCATTATAGCAACATAGGGAACTAGCAATAGGGATACCTTACAATAACAACAGCTTTCAATAGAGATGTTCATTATAGTAACAGAGGAAATTAGCAATAGAGATACCTTACAATAACATGAGCTGTTAATAGAGATGTTCGTTATAGCAACATAGGGAACTAGCAATAGAGATACCTTACAATAACAATAGCTTTCAATAGAGATGTTCATTATAGTAACAGAGGAAACTAGTAATAGAGATACCTTACAATAATAACAGCTTTCAATAGAGATGTGCGTTATAGCAACATAGGGAACTAGCAATAGAGATAACTTACAATAACAACAGCTTTCAATAGAGATGTTCATTTTAGTAACAGAGGAAACTAGCAATAGAGATACCTTACAATAACAACAGATTTCAATAGAGATGTTCATTATAGTAACATAGGGAACTAGCAATAGGGATACCTTACAATAACATGAGCTGTTAATAGAGATGTTCGTTATAGCAACATAGGGAACTAGCAATAGAGATAACTTACAATAACAACAGCTTTCAATAGAGATGTTCATTTTAGTAACAGAGGAAACTAGCAATAGAGATACCTTACAATAACATGAGCTGTTAATAGAGATGTTCGTTATAGCAACATAGGGAACTAGCAATAGAGATACCTTACAATAACATGAGCTGTTAATAGAGATGTTCGTTATAGCAACATAGGGAACTAGCAATAGAGATAACTTACAATAACAACAGCTTTCAATAGAGATGTTCATTTTAGTAACAGAGGAAACTAGCAATAGAGATACCTTACAATAACATGAGCTGTTAATAGAGATGTTCGTTATAGCAACATAGGGAACTAGCAATAGAGATACCTTACAATAACATGAGCTGTTAATAGAGATGTTCGTTATAGCAACATAGGGAACTAGCAATAGAGATAACTTACAATAACAACAGCTTTCAATAGAGATGTTCATTATAGCAACATAGGGAACTAGCAATAGAGATAACTTACAATAACAACAGCTTTCAATAGAGATGTTCATTTTAGTAACAGAGGAAACTAGCAATAGAGATACCTTACAATAACAACAGCTTTCAATAGAGATGTTCATTATAGTAACAGAGGAAACTAGTAATAGAGATACCTTACAATAATAACAGCTTTCAATAGAGATGTTCATTATAGCAACAGAGGGAACTAGCAATAGAGATACCTTACAATAACAATAGCTTTCAATAGAGATGTTCATTATAGCAACATAGGGAACTAGCAATAGGGATACCTTACAATAACATGAGCTGTTAATAGAGATGTTCATTATAGTAACAGAGGGAACTAGCAATAGAGATACTTTACAGTTACAGGAGATGTTAATATAGATGTTCCTTATAGTAACAGAGAGAAACTAGCAATAGAGATACCTTACATTAAAAAGAAATGTAAATAGAGATGTTCATTATAGTAACAGAGGGAAACTAGCAATAGAGATACCTTACAGTAACAAGAAATGTAAATAGAGATGTTCATTATAGTAACAGAGAGAGATTTATCAATCGTAAACCATACTTACCAAACATCATACCATCTTTGCCTATAGAACAGGTGGAAGTCAATGCCTTTCGTCTTTAAGATGACTATAGCTTGAAGAGATCTACTGTATCACTGTTCTCTGTTACAGCGGCTCGTGAGCTTGTAGCAGTGTACACATTTTTTTCTCACACCAAGCGCGAGCGTGTCGGGAGTATATTGGGTGTCACTCGTCTGAATAACGCATCAACTGGCAGGTACAACTGTTAGAGGTGTCCTGTAGCATTGTGTGCTGTGTGTAATGTTATAAATAGAACTTGGGCTCAAACCAGTCGTCAGATGTAACGTCTACTAATTATGAAAGGTTAATGACGCCTGTTTGGGGGGAGCATCCTCACGCACAGCAAGCCAGCCCCCTGGAAAAAAAACCACCTGTCGTATTGGACTGATTTAAACTAAATAATACTTTTTGTTTACCACTTCGGCAAGTCATCTATTTCTCAACATATTTCTAGCTAGTGTATTCTTTACTCTTTAAGTTTCTTGTAGTGTACATTTTAAACAAGCTACTATGATAATTGTAAACACAATTGCTCATAGTTTTGTCACCAGGTTTTCAGTTTCCTTCACTTCTATAACATCTGATTTTTTTTATTTATTAGTGTTGCTGTAACTTCAATTTCAGTTTCTCAATTTATCGTTTCGCTGAACACTCGTGGTGTATTTTAAGTGGTTTATCTTTGTTAAGTCACTGTTTATTTTCACTATGGAATTAACAAATAATTGATAAGATACATACAACTACCATATCTTTAGCACATTCTGAGGCAAATGCTAGCCCGAGTTTCCTCTGGCCCTGACACCAGACTTAGACATTTTGACAGATAGATGTCCCCACACCAGACATCTATCACGCAGTCAAAATGTCTAACCCTGGTGTCGGGGGCAGAGAAAACTCGATCTAAGGCAAATGTTTGAGTTTCGATATATTTCTTCCACAGACACGGTTATACAATCCATGGAGTATGACATAGGAGGTATGCTTTGATGGGTAAATCATTAGAAAAACTTAAACGTTCTATAAAAAAAATATCTTAGAAATGTCAAGATATTTACATAATTCACAGCATTGTTTCATATGAATTGTTTTTCATTGGAAGTCAATACCCTGTGGGTGGTTATTATACATTTATCAGAGAAACCAGCTGAAACATTGCTGTTGTTTCTGTTGTTGTTGTTGTTGTTGTTGTTGTTAGTCGTCGGAAATGAAACGAAACACTTATCAACAAGAAAATAAAAGCTTTCCTACTTCGCCAGATTATTTTTCAGTATCCAGAGTCGTGTTAAATGTTTATGTGATGTGTAGTTCGCTGTGAAATGTTGACCAATTAAGTTGGTATCTCAAGGTAAAAGATCTGTAAAATAAAATTCGTCAAATATATTTCCCTTTCCTGTAAACAATTGTCACATTCACGATATGTTTTGTCAAATATATATATATTTATATTTTAAATCTGATGGACTTGTAAGCATTTATATTTGTTGTTCAGTATGTAATATACAGTGCAAATAATATAAAATACAGATATATGCAAACAAATTATACAACTCTCCGACCATGCATACACGATCAAATTAAAAGCGATATTGTAGAGAGTGATTCCTTTCAGCTTGCAAAGTATTGAGTCTCAGTTTTTTGACAAAGGCTCAGAAAGTTTGCTAAATAAGGCAGTTTTTACGTATTCGTTGTTGTCAACAAACCAAACAAATTTGCTATGCCGTTATCATTGACATTTGAAATGTTATAACCAGTGTTTTACTTAGTTGATGCATGCTGTTACACAAGGCAGATAATCAATGGCACATTGTTTTGACAGTATTGAAAACTGAACTCGCGTATAGCAATTTGGTTTCAAATAACAGAATTACGTGTCAGAGTGAAGGTCCTGCAAATATGTGTGAGAATACTGTAACATTATACTCCTGATCAGAACCTCATTAATTTCCTTGGAATATGCACACACGTTTAGTGTAGGAGACAGCACCTGCTTCAACACAGAATGGATAAAGATGATTGTACTGTATCATCATACATTCGTAATCCTAGGTTACTATTTCAACTACTAGTATGTATTAACTCATTCACCCCTGAAGGCACATTTGAACTCTTCCAGTTCAAAGGTTTGAATAGTTCATTATGAAATTACAGGGGTGAATGAGTTAATGTTGATATCATTTATATGTTTTCCGACAACGGCCGTTTGTTTATAATTATTTTACAATAACCTACATTGTTTATAATTATTTTACAATAACCTACGCTGTTTATTATTATTTTACAATAACCTACATTGTTTATAATTATTTTACAATAACCTACATTGTTTATTATTATTTTACAATAACCTACATTATTTATAATTATTTTACAACAACCTACATTATTTACAAATATTTTACAATAACCTACATTATTTATTATTATTTTACAACAAACTACTTTGTTTATTATCATTTTACAATAACCTACATTGTTTATAATTATTTTACAATAACCTACATTGTTTATTATTATTTTACAATAACCTTCATTGTTTATTATTATTTTACAATAACCTTCATTGTTTATTATTATTTTAAAATAACCTACATTGTTTATAATTATTTTACAATAACCTACATTGTTTATTATTATTTTAAAATAACCTACATTGTTTATAATTATTTTACAATAACCTACATTGTTTATTATTATTTTACAATAACCTACATTGTTTATAATTATTTTACAATAACCTACATTGTTTATTATTATTTTACAATAACCTACATTGTTTATAATTATTTTACAATAACCTACATTGTTTCAAAATCTAATTTGTACTGAGCTGTATTGTCTGGCTTTTATGTTAAGATTATCAAGATGGGGTTATCTGGTACACTACATTTTGAAATATTTTACAATATGTTAAGTCAAAAGTGGCGTACAGCAAGTAGGCTCCTTTTGGCAGGAATACTGTAATGTCCTTTTTGGCAAAACTGAGTATTAAACAATAAGCGAGCCTGTGGAAGTATTTATTTTTGCACAGCTATTTTTTCACAGGGTGTTGCATATTCGCAAAAGGTAGGATAATAAACGTTTTGCTGGCATAAAAACGGCCAGCTGATAACTTTTCTAACGACCCTAGGAATATTCAGTCAAATTTGAATTATAATGTTTAAAAAATGCAAGGCATTTTATTCATGGACGTATGTTGGAAGCAGTCGACATTTGGACTACAGACCTGTTATTACTACAAAGTATATGTAAGAAAATAACACAGTTATGAGGATATTATACAATGGCATTTGGATATAAAGAAAACAAATCGTTTGAGTTGATGCCATGAAACGTTTGATGTTAAGCAGAATCATGCAGTGTCTCTGTATGGTTGTCACAAACATTGATCATGACATGTTTGGCACGAAGAAAAAATACCAACGTGAAGCTGGATAAAAATAAAATTATGCTTTATCCAAGAAAGCCACTTGTATATCGATTATGTTTGCCAAACATTTAGTACATGTTTAACACAAATTTATTTTGGGTTATTGACACGAAACATCGTCCAATAAAAACTTTTTTAGTATGTTTGACAAACAAACAATAAATAAATAAATAAAAAAGTTGATACCAAACAATATTCATTGACACAAAAATGATGTCTTATATTGTGTTTTTCTACGACTGACTCAAAACAACATATTAGACATGAACAAAATTCTTTGAGATCAAACAATCTCCGTTGTATAGCTTATTCAAGCAACGTCCAATATCTCTTTGACACTCAAAAGTCGTTTTGCATATTTGACTAAAACATTTTAAGTTGACAAAAGCGTCCATTTCACCTGGCTGACACTAAAAGTATCAAATATTTAGTCGGCACATGCAAAGTCACTGTGTATTGGAGTTAAAAAAAACCCACCGGATTCCAAAGTAATAAAATCTTAATTGTAATCAAAATCGGTAATACAATGAAAAAATTATACGTAGGCTCCTGAAAAGTACAAGAGAATACGACCGAAGGAGTACGTGTATTTTGCTCCATCAAAAAAACAGCTATGCAAACTATGTCAATTCCTAGAAATGCCACGTCTCCAAAGTAAGAGCAGCGCAAGTGACAACAAAACCTCAAGACACACTTATAAGCCTTATCATATACGCCGATATTCAAGAGAATCCAATAAGATCATTATAGAGATCGTAAAACTTACCCATACTCTTAATCAATCTATACCTCTCGAAAACATGTGCAAAGCTAATGAATGCCGAATCAAAGTGTGACGTGTAAACACTGTAGGTCGGAGATGCAGGGATGCTACTGTCACGAAAGGGAAATTTTACAATCGGAAAATCAAAATCGCCAGCTTATGATCGCACAGTATAGTAGTACGCCGTCTCTGCTGGTCATGTTTTAAGCAAAGAATGAGGTCAAATGCTGGTGTAGAAGAATCTGTTGTGGCCTTGATTTCAAGTTAAAGAGGGTAAACGATCGACGTGGTCAGATTTGTTTTTGTCTGTGTAAAAGCAACAAAATCAGCGACATATCTGAAAGTAGAATCGGAGAACTTGGCAACGTTTTATTACTTGACCTGATAACCTTTTCGATAATCTTAGCCTCATATGAAACCAAAACCAATTTAACCATTTTTTCGATATCCTCCACGGTATATTCGAGCCTGGCCTTTGTGTGTGTGTATGTTGTATTGGAGACAGAGCCATGTCTATATTATGCGTTACTCTACCGACACCTAATGTACGTTTGACTAGAACAACGTCCATTGTACATCCAGTCATGTCGATTGTATATCAAACACACAAAAATACACATAGCATATTTGATATTTGATATAAATGAGATTTTTATGATTAACGTCTACTGAAATACTTCTAATCCAATAAATAAACGATTGCCTTATTCATTGTCAGACACTGACACGTTTAGCTGGCTCATAACCTGAGTAAAATCCATAATTCAGATAAAGCCAGTCATGATGGAATAACTTCTTCATATTGCCATCGCGTCAAAGTATTTGGAATGGTCGCTATTCGTCCACATGCTAGTTTGTATTTGGATACCAATAAAAAGGTTCGT